GAAACATATACAAAGAACTCCAGGAGTGTAATAAGACTTCCATTTAATGCTGAGGCTCGCATTATTGACCTGAAAAATATATAGGATCCAAAATTTGGAAGTACGTGATTTTTGCTTGAAGACAAAGCTCATTTTCAAAAATTCGCAGAAATTCAAAGGGTGAATATGGGTAAAAAATTTTTGCGGGAAAATGTTGCAATCGGGTTCTAGTTTACGAAAATCTTTCATTTTTAGCCCGACACAGACCGGCACATATTCAGAAACTATCTTATTTAAGCATCTTCATGAAAAATGCTCATTTTACTGAACGATTTGACAACAGCATACACATGCCAGACAATCAAATTTCTAATTATAGTAATATATATGTAAAAAGGGACTACTTACCATAAATAATGGCTGCCAATAAGCCTGCAGATGTAGCTTGTACCTGTCACTGCATACACACTTTGATTGAAAAGCTGAACGTGAACAATACTGAACTAGAGCTAAGATGCGCGCGAAACCGCTGGGTTTACCCTTTTTTCCTCGACCATCCAGTAGTGATAAGCGGATTCTGTTGTCACGATGTCATGCAGTAGATATCAGAGAATCAATTTTTACCTGTTCCACCAAGCTTTTACCAATTTTTTTTTGGACTTTCCGCCAGCTTTTCGGGTATAATACTCCACTGTGCGACGTATTTGCAAACCTTAAATTTTTCTACCCCGAAACCGCCATTTTGGCCGCCATCTTGAATTTGGGGGGGGTTGGTATGAAATTTGAGATGGCCATCATCGATTTTCTTTTTCTAGACATCAAAACGAAGAGATTGATGTATCACACACTATGCCTTCACGAACCTGCACACGGGATTACGTATGCCCCCTGACTAAAGCGTCATTTTTTATAGTCCGTGTGTAAAATTTTAATGAAAATATTGGAATGAGTAAATTGAGAGAGAAGGAGGTGTTGTTATGATAACTCATTTTGTAAATGAAATGTTACTTTCTCCTTTTGATTCATCATTTCAAATTGTCATTGGCGAATATTTGATTTTATTTTTTTTCTTAAAATTTTCCAAGCGACAGCATCGATACTAATCTCAATGAGCCGTAGTTGTGTTGAAAGGAACTACAAATATACAAAAATTAATCAAAGAGAAAAAAAGAAACACACAATCTTTGGTTTTAACCCGTTTAATAATTCTTTCAGAGTGTGCAAACATTGCAAAATCATGAGTTGAAAAACGCTGACTCTACGAGTTCAAATATTAGATCCGAGCACGGGTCGGAGCGTTGTGCTGCCAGCGCGTGTCGCGCACTGGGGCCTACAAACCTAACAGGGATACCTCACGCAGTGCGCAAAGCGTGAAGTATCCCTGTTGGGCGCTTCTGGGTACCAGAAGCGCCCTTTCCAGCCGTTCGACTCCCCCGATGTAACATGTACTATACTACATGCCGTTTTGCCTTATGGGTAATGACGCCATTCTGGTACACCCGGAAAAATTTGATTTTCTTCTGCATCTGGTATTCGTAAAAGTTTTCGTGAAATGTTTTGCTTTTAAGCATAACAATCTCGCACGGACGTATTACCTGGATAAACTATTTTGGGGCTTCGTTATGCTTAAATGCCTCATATTCGAGGTTGTAGTTTCAGATTGATTCGAAAAAATCACGAACAGTCACGTGATCTCTTCATTTTAGTGACGTATTACTGTGCTATTGTGATTGGTTCATTTTCTCGGCGCAGCATCGTCAAGCGTCAGCTGTTTGCGGCTCTGGGTTGAAGGTTTAAGGTTATGTCAGAGAGAATAGAAAGTTATAGAGGCCCGACTCGATGCTAGGTAATTGAAACAGATGCGCTCGCAGCGCGCTCGCTGGCAACGTACGCAACTACTATTTTCTATTGTTTTCCAGAGACTAGCGGCGGGTATGTTGCTGCCGGACCACCTTCACGTAGGCAATTTGTTATACATCGTCCGTCCGCAATACTCTCGCTTGGCCGTATGAAAACGTTCCTCGCATGCGCAGTGTTAAAGAAGCGCCCTCCAACGCTTTGGCGTTGGAACTGCTTGTTAGGTTTGTAGGCGCCAGTGCGCGTGTCGCGATGGTCACACTCGCCCGCCGCCGCGGGGCGGCGTACCACGCCCCTTGAGACAACTATTTCGCAACAGAGGTGTTGTACAGCATCATTCGAAATTGAAGACGCTCCAACGTATCAAGAATGATGGGCATCCTTTGAGAGTACGGAGCTTTCCTCGCAAAATAAATAAAGATACTACGGCACAAAAAGAGAGCGGTAGTCACAAAATTCACTAAGTTCTCGCGTCCGTATTTAATAACGTTTGGCATAATTTTTGAATTTCATCAGAGAAAAATGACTCAATTTAGGCAGAAACATTCTTGAGTATGCCGTAAAGAAGATTTTATTTTGAATCAAGAATAAAAACGCGGAATGAAAGCGGGTTTCTGCTCGACGTGAGTGACTTTTCTTTTTATGTAAGCATATTTTCTTCTTCATACGAGCGTTTTTTTATTGATTCATAAGGAAACTTTCAAGGCGATAATTAAAAAAATCTCTATAAATTTTGAAGCACGCTTCCGACTTTTTAAGAAGTAGAGCGAATTAGTGGTGCGTGGTCTGAGCAGCATCAAATCGAGCTTTGCTAAATTTCCTTTTCCCTTCAATGTTTAAAAGTTTTGATTTCTCTCTCATAATTTGGATTTCTTTCCATCTTTTTCTTTATGGCGCCCGAACCCAGGGTTCTCACTGCAGTTCATCCGGCACCGTTCCGGTACCGAAGTATAGCGACGGCGGATTTTTTCCCAAGGTTTCCTTGTTGAGGCCTCGAAGACCTGACTCTGCTTTGCGCCGAGACGAATACTTTTGGCCATGTGCACTTTTTGAACTTTCTTTTTACATAAGGGACCAATTAACTTTGGGTGTCAATAGGTACGTGGACCAAAACTCTCCCACCAATAAAACGCGCGGACGTAAACAACTGGAAAAAACAGGTTCGCGGACAAAAAATCGTTGACGAAATGTCCTATAACCGTGTTTCTTTAATGTTCATAGGCACTACTCACCGACTGGTTTTTTACGTGTTCGAACAGCCTAGAGGAAAGAAAATGAAGTTCGAAGGAGCTCTTATTAAAAAGAAGTGAGTCTTTAATTTACTTATTTGAAAAGTAAGATAAATCGGTGTTCGTGCACTGATGTTAAATTTGCCGATTATTATTGAAGTTTTTCCTACATAGCTTTGCTACCGTGGATTTTTGTTTCCACCGAAATGAACAAAGTTGTTCATACTTTTCGGACGCATGACTGTCCTTACCGTATGCTGACAAACTTTATTAGACAGTTAATTAGCACACATAGAGTGCAATGGAGTCGCAATGTTCTGGAGCGTTGATGATGTCACTTTATGAGGCTTTATTGTCCAGTACTCCTGAGACTAGTGTGCGGCGACTGGCGATGCCGTATGCGCCGGGTACCAGCTTCGGTCTTCCCTCAGAAAATACAGGTATAAAATGGGTCACTAAACCATGAACGAATTTTGACTTGCGAATACAGTTTTCTGAAGGAAAATGACGCGTGTAAGATAATTAGAGATTAAAAGATTTTAATTAAAAGAACATTAAAAACGCGAACAAGTAACTCAATTACCGAGAAATGCGCAGTTCAAATCGCTCAACTTATACGCAAATTAAAAACGCCCCGGTTTCGCGCCGCACCGAATGATGTCATCCGGCACCAATCAGAGGCGGGCACGGATTTCCACGACGTCCGTCAAATGTCTATCTACTCTTCGTATACGAGAACAATACTAAAGTCGAAATTATATCTTTTGAATTCAAGACTAGAATCTCATTCATATGTTAGCTGTAATAAACAAGCAACAACTCCACATTAAAATAAGTTTTATTTTAACAAACATCAGAGGAAAATGAGAGAAGATCGCGATATGACTACCGCAGTACATCAACCGCGTCAGTTTCCCGTCATTCGGGTGCGTTTGAAATGTCTTGCAGTTTTTAGATTTTTCAAAAGCGGTTTTCTCCGCGATTTTGGCTCAATGAAAATGCGGAAAAATCACCACGTTATCTCCTCATATAGTACTTTCAGAATATTCAATAAAATGAACAAGGTTTAGTGACCTATTTATTTCATAGAGACCGGGAGTGTTGTAATTTTTTTAATTTGACACAATTCGCCAAAATTCGCGGAAATAATGATTAATTTAAATGAATAAATCCCAAGAACCACTCGCAGCCCGCGATTCTCCCATAAGCCGCCGTGTTAAAAAATGCCAAACGGTTCTCAGATGGTTCCCACTTTCCGGCGAAAAAGAGGCTCGGAATGGCCCGTTCATGGATTGACTTCCTCGGCGCTCCAGCACATTGCGACTATATTGTACTCTACGTTAGCACAACAGTTGATGTTAGAGTCTCAAAAGTAGAAGCTTCCGACGTCTCCAGATACCAATGGAGGGTACTCACTTGCCTTTGATATTTAAATATAAATGGAATGTTTTGAATATTAGATATGAGAACGTTCAAAAGTTCTGATTACTTGTTTCAGAGACACAGGAAGAATTAGAGGAATGCTTTCTATGGAGGACCTCGTGTTGCGTTACGACCTAGGAGATCCATACGCAGTACATTTCTTCGAAGTATTCTTCAACAAGACAAAGCTGTGATCATCATATTTACTAAGACTTCTGTTTTTATTACAGTGACAGTCGTGCACTAATGTAAGCTCAAAGTCCGTCACGAATCTTGTTTTGTTGTTATTGTTTTCCTATTCCACCCTTTCGAAGAGGACTGTGGTTAAATCCTGCTTTTGTTTTTGATTACGTGACCAGATTGGCTCGAACTTGACATACTTAACATTTAGAGAGTCAGACTTCGACGAGTGGCATCGATCTATTCAAAACTGATTGACACAAAATTGATCCAACAAAAATCAATTTATTGAAGGGTCTTCAAACCTAATCTTTTCCACAGTCATTGTGTTTAGCAATAAATTAATTTAATAAATTGATCTCTTGACATTGATGTTTTTCACCTTAATCTAAGATCAATAACCCCTATCCCCAAAAAATCGGTTTTCCGTTTTTCTGGATGATGAGCAAAATTTAGCTCCTCCGAAAAATAACGCAAAATAATAATAATAAAAAATACGTGAATAAATATTTTACACCACTTATAAAAGGCGTTATTTTAAATATATTATCTCAAAAATTATGTGCTAAATTGGAACTTACCTGGGATAGCACCCTATGAACTTGTGTGGCATTCAGTGGCGTGGCGTGCTTTGCGATATATCGATTGTTATGCCATTTAAACCTATGGAAAAGGATCGATAAACAGGGTGTTCGCAGCGAACACCTTAACAATCGATTCTTTACCATAGGTTTAAATGGCAGAACCATCGATACATCGCAATTCACGCCACGCCACTGGTGGCATTTTTGTAAACGCTAGCCAATAGGTAACATAAATCAATTGAGTTCGAGTACATTGACATCGATGCATAGGATGCTTTGTACACTTACGATACAGGATCTCGTTCTGATTCGTGCATGTAAAATCTAGCGAAGTTGCAAAGGGCGTGGTTCAAGAGTGCTTAGAAAGATCACAATGTCGATGAAGAATAGGTTCTCAGAGAAAATCAACTTAAGACTTTGACCAGTCCCATGTTCATCCTTCTTTTGCACGCATTCATATTTCAATTTTAGTCGTAATTCTGGCATGAAAATGTTCATCTAAACGCGTAAAGTGAGACTTAAAAATGAAACGACATACTTAATTGCCTATGTTTCCCTCTTATACTGGGCTCTTTCTCGGCCGGGCCCGGGCACAGTGAAGTCCTCCAAAACACTGAACAATATACACCGCACAAACAATAAACTAGAGATATAAGTTTAACACTTTTATACAGTTCCATGTAAGACTAAAAAAAAGATGAGATTGCATTGTTAAAAGGAAAATGTATCCTGTGTATGCATAAACGATCATCGTTAGAAATCAAAAACAATAAAAAAATATAAATGTCAGGGACACCTCGCAGCTGCCAAACTGTTTTTATTTCATAAGTTTCTTCAGAATTTTGAATATTTTTCGATGACTCAAGCTGCTTTGAAAGGAGGGAGGGGGGAATTCTCACGTGAACTAAATAATTGAAAATAGAGATCAATGAGCCCTTATCCTTCTTTCTCTCTTTAAATGACTGTAACGTTACGTTTTCAGAGAATGTTTAACTGATAAGATTATCACTGCTTTTTCGGCTTTCGGTACCGACACGGTATTGTCACTTAAAAAATGTTCAGTTATTCTTATATCCAACGTGTAGTAAATCTGTTGTCCACTAGTATCAGTTCCAAAAGAAAAGGGTCAAGATGTATGTTTTACCTTTTTGTATTCTCGTGTAGCGTAGAAATTGGTGTTATATCTGCGGAGAAAATCCCAAAATTCAATCCAGATTATATGAGAAAAGCTCTGACCGAATATCAAATATATCCATACTTATTACCAGATTTACCGAAATATCCAATCGAGGTGAGAACCTGCTTATGCTTTCGACTTATTGACTTGTTACTAATCATTTACTTCATGCTCGTGTAATTGTGTCAGTATGATTCAGTGCCCCCACAGGAATTCTTTTTTTCTTTTTTTTGAGTGTTTAAATTGTTTTAATTAAATTTGAATCCACTGCAGTTTGTTCGTATTGCTGTGTCTCTGGGCAGTCATTGTAACACCCACGAGGTGCAGTTTAAAAACTTTTTTTTTTTTGACTAAATTTCATATGCGTCAATTTTTTTTATTGTTGTGTGCTCATGATTTTGAGTAAATTTCTAAGGGTTTTTAGTAAAATATTTAATGAGTTCCGATTCTGCGAATGAAAAATCTGGGGAATTTTTAAGTTCTTCGCAAACTTCAACACCTTCTCATAGCAGAAATCCTAGTGATAACTCAGATTTTCCTTTAACTCACTTGCCAAAACTCACTCATAAAAAACTTGAATGTAATTTTGACCCCCCTTTTCTTAGTACGCAGTCTGCAAATTCAATTTTGAAACCTGAAATTCTCACACCGGAAACTACTAAACAAACTTTGCAATCAGAAACAATTATTAATTTAACTTCAGATTTTGAAGATACAGACTCTTTAGATTCGTTACCTATAGACGAAATCATGGCCACACAAGCACTTTTTAAAATGAAAACGCCAATGGGCCTGTTGCAAACTTTTGCTAGAGCAGAATGCAGAGTTGTTTCCTATAGATAATGCCTCAAAAATCACGATGAGCGCATCGGCAAAGTCTGAAATGCACTCATAACTTCACAATCTGCGTAAGAAATTTGCGTTATTTTGAGCTTCCCGCTTCAAAAACGATACTACTGCACAGGTGAACATTTTGTTAGAGGAGTCGCTCCATCGTCGGCAATATTCATCATGGCCGACGCTTGCGCAGTTCCTCGCGTAATTCGAGGAGAGTTCAAGGTCAATTAAGGCGGGCGAGGAAAATATGAACGTAAACACGCCGATTGTTATATGGTTTAATCCTGTTCAAGTGTTATCTCGTCCCATCACACGTGTTTTGGCGGACTGGCGTCGGCCATGATGAGTATTGTCGTCAATGGAACGACTCCTCTAACAAAATGTTCACCTGTACCGTAGTATCGTTTTCGAAGCGGAAAGCTCAAAAAACCGCAAATTTCTTACGCAGATTGTGAAGTTATGAGTGCATTTCAGACTTTGCCGATGCGCTCATCGTGATTTTTGAGGCATTATCTGTAGGAAACAACTCTTAGTTTTGCTCTAGCAAAAGTTTGCAACAGGCCCATTATTTGGCCTCAAAAATTTAGTGGTAAAGAGGACGTAGCTGCATTTTTGAAAGATGTTCAGAAATGCATTATGGCTAATTCGTGGGACGAAAAAATAGTTCCTCTTTTGTTTCTTGAGTTTGTGACAGATGAAGCCCTCGCACTTTACAAATTTTTGAAGGAAAAGCACGACGATTTAACGTTCGATCTCCTTAAAGAAGAATTTTCTAAAACCTTCAAAAATGAAAATTTAAAACATAAATTGGAATTAGAATTACAGAACTTTAAATTAGGCTCTTTCTCAGTCCAAGAGTATGTTTTTAAAATTAAGACCTTATGTCAAAAAATTGATCCTCAAATGCAGGAAAATACACTAATGAGACACATAGTCGATGGTTTGCCTTCTTCTATTTTGTCAATAGTAACCTTATGGCCTCGTAAGACTCTTGCAGAGTTGAAAACATCTCTAAAAGATTATGTTTTGCGTCAACAAGAGCTGGACAAGAAAGCTAATTCGTCTGATCTGCAGAAATTAATGCAAAAATTTTCTTTACAAGAAACTGAATTGAAAAGTAGAAATGAGGAAATTAATCAGTTAAAATCTCAGAGCCGACAACAACCCACTGCTAGCACTGCTAAAAATCAGAATCAGGGAGCAAAAAAGAAAAAGTTCGAACCCAATTAATTTTATCAACAGTCATATTTCTATCCTCAACAAATGGATCCAACTATGCAGCCTGCTCCTTATGCGCCTTATGGCGGTTTTCAAAAAGGCTTTATGCTTAATCAAAATTCTAACAAAGCTAATCTCTTGACAAATGTCACACCTCAAGCTGAAGTTTGCCCTGATTGTGGTGCTCAGCACACAAGAAGGAAACAATGCCGTCATTGCGTGTACTGCAACAAGTCTGGGCATTATTTTTCGGAATGCTTTAAGTTATTTCCACAAAAAAAAACCCCAAAAAATCAGTGAGTAAAATAGGCACTTCGCCTCCACTGATTTCTCAGACTGAACTTAATTTACCTAGTTCAAGTTCTTTAAAAAGGGGTGTCAATAGATTCAATACTTTGAAAAATTCAGTTAAAACTAAAAATAATCGTGGAATTAAAATGTATTCTATTCCTGATTGTTCTTCTATAGGACTTAACGTTGTCTGAAACAAGTTACACATTTAAATCTAGTTATTTAAATATGAAAATTTCAAATTGCTCACTTAAAAACCATGTATTTGTTGTAGAAAAGAGCTTTACACTTATTTTAGGCAATGATTTCCTTCAGAAATTCAATGCCAAAATAAATTATCAAGATAAAACTTTCATTTTTAACACTGGTGAAATAGAGTATCAATTACCACTGGTATCTCCAAATAAAGATATCTCAACCGATTTTGAATTAAGAATAATTTCAACTGAAAATATTCATATTCCGCCGAAAACGTCTTTCAGTATTAACGGTAAACCTGTATATAATTTATATAATTCGAAGTTCTATTATGAGCCAACAATTCAATTAATGAATAAAAAAATGATTCATTTAACTCCTGGCATTTCGCAGGAAAATGTAATTTATGGAAATAAACCTGTCCCATAATTTTGTTAGTATTCATAGAAATACAGTAATGGGCTTTTTGAAGGATAAATTCTCATCTGATCAAGTAATCTTTTCAGAATGCAGTGCACGGCAGAAAATTAATTCCGTTCAAATCCCACGATTAGAGAGAGCGCTCCATCTTGAAAATTCCTCTAGAATTTACACTAGTAATTCACTGAGTGACATTAGTGTTAAATTGCAAAAATTAAAAGAGGCAAATGATTTATTTAATCAACTTTTCGAAGTTGAATGCGAAAGTAATTCACTGAGTGACAATTTCGCACTAAATCTTAATAATTCATGCAGGGTTTCAGGTAATTCACTGAGTGACAACTGTCCCATGATGCATAATAATCCCATGAGTTCAGGTAATTCACTGAGTGACCACTGCTCTAAGCATTATATAAAAATTAACTCCAGCAAAACTAGTAATTCACTGAGTGACAATAGTGTGGAGAATAATAAGATATACCTTCAGGTAATTCACTAAGTGACAACTGTAGGTATTCTTTTCGTGTAAGCGGCGGTAAATCAAGTAATTCACTGAGTGACAATTGTACGCCACAAGGGACTTTTATTAAAGGTTTTAATTGTAATTCCATAAAGGCTTTTGATGCCATTGAATTGGATTCAG